ACAGGAAACCTTCCTGAGGCCTGCAAAAGGAGCCATGAAATCGACACCTACCGAGGCGGTAGAAATAGCACTCAGTATCCCACCCCTCGACCTTAGAGTTGTGAGTTGTGCTACCACAACTGCATATAGACTAAGGTGTCAACAAGAATGGAAGATGACGGGCCAAGGCCATACAAGACTTAGCCTAATCAATGATCGACCCTTCATAGGTAAGACGGATAGAATTCCTAGGAAGTATCAGATCAGGAAAACTTTCAGAACGAGTATACCACCCAGACAGGAGTGGCTAGACTCGGAACTTCAACCAGGACCAAGAGAAGACTACTGGTTTACAAACGGCTCTGGCTTCAATGAAAGTTTTGAGGCAGGCATCTACCGTCTGAAAGATGACTTTGGAGAGAGTTTTCCACTGGGCCACCATTCAATCGTCTTTCAAGCAGAAATGCTGGGCATACTTAAGTGTGCAGAGTATCTGAACGCGAGAGACACAAAAAGGGTGAAAATATTCATCTGCAGTGACAGCCAGGTGGCGATTCACGCCCTGGAAAAACCCACTACAGAGTCACAGGTGGTGTGGGAATGCATGCAGGCATTGGACACACTGGGTAAAAACAACCAGGTCACCGTAACCTGGGTACCAGGCCACCATGGGATTCTGGGTAATGAAGTGGCAGATAAGCTGGCCAAGGAGGATACAGAAAGGGTGCCCGCACACGGCCTGCTTGGCATGCCCTTCGCAGTGGGAAAAACTCTTATTAAAGAACATTTCCGGCGAGATCATGTCAGGCGTTGGGAGAAAGTTGTGACCTGCAGACAAGCGAAACTGCTTATGAGGGGGCAACTAAGAGATAGAACCTGAAAGCTTCTGGAGATGCACAGAGGGGATCTGAGGGTACCANACGGCGGATCGACCGGGAGGGAACATCTGGAGAACTGCTGAACCGATTTCCTTTTTTTTTTGTTTTATAATTGTTCAATTTGTGAATTAACTATATTAAAATTTTCAATTATTTTCCAATAATGAAATTGAANGAATGCCCCCTATTAGCACTCCGTCGCTATAAAATCTGGGGCCAGGCTTTCCTGGAACCAGAGGACTTACAACAAGCAGCTGTCACCAGCCTTATTAGCCTAGTGAGAAACACAGGTCTGTGTGACTGACCGAAACTAAGGCGGTTGTTACAAAAGATCGTATGATTTAGGTGACTCTGGGCGCTTTAAGTAACCAGCCGCGCATATCCTAATTTTAATTCTTATTCTACAGAGGTTAAGGGATGAAACGGGGGTTGATGGATGGGGAATTTAATTCTCCATCGAACAGCATCGGTTTCATTCCTTAATGTTAATTAGGCGGGGAGAGACGATTCTTTAAGTAGCGGGCGAGTTATCGGGAGTCACTGCGCCGAGAGACCATTAGGTTTTTTATTGCGCCGTGACTTTCGTCGCAGTTTTTATTTTTTTATTCCAGAGATTCAGCGATGAAACAGGGGTTGCTGGATGGGGATTTTAATTCTCCATCGAACAGCATTAGTTTCATTCCTTACTATTGATTAGGAGAGGAGAGGCGATTTTTTTATTAGCGGGCAAGTTATCCATCAAGTTTTTCATAGCGCCGAGAATTTCGTCGCAGTTTTTATTTTTTGATTACAGAGATTAAGGGATGAAACAGGGGTTGATGGATGGGGATTTAATTCTCCATCGAACAGCATTGGTTTCATTCCTTAATATTAATTAGGCGGGGAGAGACGATTCTTTAATTAGCGGGCGAGTTATCGGGAGTCCCTGCGCCGAGAGATTATTAGGTTTTTCATTCACTGAGAGAAAAAATTACCTCTGCCGAAATAGTATATTTCGATACGAGTGAGACAGAATTTTCACGAGGGTGAAGTTGGCGGCCCGAGGCGAAGCCGAGGGCTGCCAATCACACGAGCTGAAAATTCCTGTCTCACATGTGTCGAACAATATTTTTTGACAGTGCTGTTACGTTCAGCGAGTGGCGAACTGTACCTTCTTTCGTTTACTAGTAAACGAAAAGACTTTTCGTTTACGAGTAAACGAAAAGGCACTTTTCGACACGAGGTGAACGTAGCAGCAGTGTCAAAAAGATAAATGTTCACCTGTACAAAATTTTCTGGTCTCAAGATTATTATACGCTAGACAAGTTCCAGGGGCGCGCGGTTTGCGCGCTGTCTCGTGGACATTCTACGCAACTCTCGGAGGGCCGCTCCAGCTGACACTCATATGCTTACATGGTATTAGTCGTTACATTAAGTTTTTTTTCCTAATTCATTAAAGTATCATACAATGTCAAATGTGTCATACTTAAAAGTGGGTTTCAAGAGGTCTATTTATCGGCCTTCCGGCCTAAATCAATCAGTAAAGGCACAAAATTAGTAAAAAGTTATCATGTCAGTGACGTGAGAGAACTCATCCATGGAAATGATAGACGTATCTGTGGATCAGTGATCCGAGAAACTCCTGGGGCACATAGCACCCGTAAAAAAGAGAATATTTACTCCCCAGTCGTTCAGGTAAATATGCCCTACTATAAAATAGTCCATTAAAAGTAAAAATTAACTCCGCATTGAGGTGGTGGAGAGCAACAAGTTAACTCCGTCCTCGGTTGAGTTTTTGTCACATATCTCGAAATCTGAGGAAGATCGTGGGATTCACATAAAGACCTCTTTTGTAGCTCTTGAAATTCTCTACAAAAAAGTTTGTATGCCAATTTCGCTGTCTCCATTATATTCCAAGATATTTCTCAAAATGTCGATCAGAACTGAATTTATATTAATTTACATTTTCTTTCCTTTCAGCCTCCCATGGACGATTTGGGAATGTGTAAAAATGCACTCCAGGACTATTTTTTGCATTGTTGAAACAATTCACAACACAGCAATTACTTTTCGATAATTTCTGTGGATTTTTCTGTGGGCTCCATAACACACGTTTCGGTAGTAAACAGACTGACTGGCCCCCCGAGAGTTGCTACCGTAGGCCACCCAGTGGCACCACCCGAGCTACTTGTCTAGCGTATTCTCCACGAGAAAATATTCTGCAGCAAAAAATTTATTCTTTCCACTTGAAAATCTGACAGGGTCATATANTCTGCAGCAAAAAATTTATTCTTTCCACTTGAAAATCTGACAGGGGCATATGAATACATATTCTTTCGAGTAGAATAACAAGATTCAAATATCATGATAATAATCTGTTTGACTGCAAACCAAAAAATTTTCCCTGAAGCAAAAGTTTGAGCTGACAGAAAAAACATTCTTTCAGCAAAAATACGACTGTATAATCTCTACTGCGACTTTCTCTATTATTTCCAATATTACTCATTTGTTTCCCCGCCATTGATAGTTATTGAGTGAGAAATCAAAGTCCAGTTCTGAGGTCACAAACAGATAAGTTTGAGAAGATCAAACCTCTGATTCACAGAAAATTTCGAAACCTGTTACGAAGCTTTTTTGTAATCAACGGAATAGTGTACTTCTTTTCCGCTTGACTTGTGTACGTGAAAAAAAACAGATTTTGAGGCGAAAAATTATTTATCTATTTAGATCAAACTATACGTTGACTCCACGTATCTTATATTATTAGACGAAGTTATTTCGATATTTTTGAGCGGAATAAATATATTTTCGGCAGAGGTAATTTTTTCTCTCAGTGTTGCGCCGCGACTTTCGTCGCATTTTTTATTTTTTGATTACATAGATTAAGAGATGAAACGGGGGTTGCTTTATGGGGAATTTAATTCTCCATCGAATAGCGTTGGTTCCATTCCTTAATATTAATTAGGAGGGGAGAGACGATTTTTTAATTGACGGGCGAGTTATCCATTAAGTTTTTCATAGCGCCGTAAATTGCGTCGCAGTTTTTAATTTTCTATTACAGAGATTAAGGGATGAAACGGGGGTTGCTGTATGGGGAATTTAATTCTCCATCGAACAGCATTGGTTTCATTCCTTAATGTTAATTAGGAGGGGAGAGACGATTTTTTAATTGGCGGGCGAATTATTGGGGTGGCACTCTGCGCCGAGAAACCATTGGGTTTCTCATAGCACCGTGACTTTCGTCGCAGTTTTAATTTTTTTATAACAAAGATTAAGGGATGAAACGGGGGTTGATAGATGGGGAATCTAATTCTCTATCGAAAAGTCCTCGTCTCATCCCTTAATCTTAATTAGCGGGCGAATGAATCAACGGAAAAACATAAAGTAAACATTGAGGACAAGGAGGACACAAACCCCCCTTCGAACCTACCCCTGTGACAGCGGGACTGCTATAGGGCTTCTAGCAGATGTTTTCCCTGCCCCCACTCTACGTAATTCCCACTCATATGCTTGTCCCCCACTCCAAAAATCCATGGATATTCTTCTTCTGGCCCTACTGCCGACAGCTCGCCCAGCCGTTAGAATCGATCGTGGCGCCCCACCTCTGTTGGGGTCTCATTTATTCTGGCTGCGACTGCTGTCGACTTGACCGACCCCGTTGGGATGTCGACACTGCCGCCATCTCCCGGCATTCCCCCTACGGGACTTGTATTATCATTATATAAGCGCCATATACTTAGCAAAAAAAATTATAGAAATGTAGTTTGAACTATTCCAGTAGCTAGGAAATTGATTAGATAAATTTGGAAAAGCATTTTCCGAATTTGGAAACATGTCCTCTAATTAATATTAATTAAAATTAATTAGTCATATATTTAGCAGAAAATTTGGATTTCTCCTCCCCAACCCACTCCATTGGTGCAATATCGTTTGGAGAACGGGTTTTCTACTTTTTGGAATTTGGAAACATGTTGTGGAATGGTTTTTTATTAATTAGACATAATTTTTTTTTCATGTTTATAAGGTATTATCACATGAACGTGCGCCGCTACATAGGGCGCGTTTCGCAATCGACGTAGTAGCAGTAACAGTACTGCAACCCTATGGGCGCGTTTCGCAATCGACGTAGTAGCAGTAACAGTACTGCAACCCTATCTAAATTTTGCTTTACTGCAGCTACGGTAGTTGATTCCGAAACGCACCCATAGTGACGTCGCTGGAGGGGGGCAAGCTGCTCCAAAACCGATGGTACGTGCATCTTTATTTTGGAGCAGCAGCTTTTTAAGCTTTTTATAATATAATAATATTATGTAATTTCCTTGCAATTTATGGTACAATAAGTGTTCTCAAAGCCTTGAATCGGAACAATGTCAAAGGTGAAGTGGTACAAAAAGTTAAACTAAGTGCAAATGTTTCCGTGAAAGTGATGTTCCAGGGCTAGAACATGTGAGTAGAAAAATATTCCTTCGATATTTCGACGCAGTCATGATTCCTAGATTCAAATATTTTAATCAAAAAGATTAGACCATTGTTAATTGAATAGTGACACTAAATGTCAAAGTTAGTGGCATTGGATTTAATGACCTTTAAGCAATTGCAGAACATTCATAACAGAGAGGACACACGTCGCTCCAAAATGGACGTCTGCACCTGAGAATAATGTATTCTAACAGTACGGAGGTGAATGATGTTTCAGCTCTTTGCCATGAAATGAAAATCCGTATAAACGTTACGGATTATTATTGCTGTGCGAACATTGATGAATAGATTCTATGATGAAAGGTGCCAATCCCCTCATGGAAAACGTTAAACTGCAGAAAACATTGATACTGAAAATGGTGGTAAGTTCATTGAAATATCACTTCGAATTCCCAAAGATATGAGGTTAACGATTTAAATTATCATCCATGGATCGTTCACCAGCTTCAATCTTCTTAGTGTTTAGTATTGAACTTAAGGCGTTTGTCATGGCTTATTGATTATTATTCAATGCATTTTTCGAAATGATAACGAGCTGCATTTCTCAATGTGTTAAGGAGAGACTGAGCTGTAAGAGCACCTGCTTGTAGGATTGTGATTGGGCACAATATAAATAATGATTGATTCGATGTGTCTATCCAACTATCCAGAATTTACAGAACTCTGCAGAGTTTCTCCTAGCCTCCCAAAATAGACACTTTTCATGTTTTTCCCAATTATAAGAAGTATAATAAGGCGTGTAACTATGGGCGATGTTGTTGAATTTTCTTATGCACTAAACGGAAATTGATCTCACTGTGTAATCCCCTACGGTGACCTCAATATATGAATGTCGCTCCTAGTCATGAATCTATTATAAAACGTCAAAAATTTCGATTTTTCCTTATTCTACCTTATTTCTACAATAATTGAATATTTTTTGGCAGAAAATGTACCGGAGACTGAAATATGGTATTTGTAGTTGTCATGGCACAAACACAGGGTTTAGTTTGAAACATGTAAGGAAGAAATCCAAGGATATGTGAAGGTATGAACTTCGATATAATATAATGTTCGATATAATTTAATGTAATATTGCTATACCAGTTTCTCCACTTACTTAAATTTAAATTTGCATAAATCTTTTGTTAGAAAAATTACATTCTGGCATCCAAGGAAAGGAGATCAGTTTTCAACTCTAATTATATAATGGACTCAAGAAGGTTCCAGAGAAATGTAAGCGTCACCTAAAATAATACAATTATCAACTTCACAAGCATGAATATGGATGTTAGTTTCTTAGCACTTTATCAGGGTGTCCAGCGAAAAGTTTTTTGAAATTTCCTGACTTTTCCAGACCTTTTGATCACTTTTGCAAGACCAAATATTGAACTAATAGACTTATTCGAGTATTATAACCAATTAATATTCTGGGTTTATCAAACAAATTTTTTTTATTAAGACGAACAACTAATCCTTCAAGGATATTTGACTAGTGCATATTATACTTGTATCGCATTAAGGGGAGACCCTACTAAAACTTAAAAGTCCCACAATTTAATAGAGCTTTTCTTGCCATGTTTTTAAAAACTTGAACTGGTGTGTTTCACCACAGTGACTTTTTTTGGTTGGAATTTTGACGGATTTCTCAGGTCAGGAAACAATCGAATCAGAAGAAACGTCCGTGCTTTTTCGGACTATTACTTTGCCTGATATTACGCGTCAATCAATCAAATCACAAAATCATGAAAAATAAAAAAATTAAAATCCTCCCAAAAGCGATTTGACCTATTTCCACATTCACTGAAGAAAATGGTCACATTGCTTTCAGGAGGAATTTTGATATTGTAATTTTCCATGATTTTATAATTTCATTTATGTCGCGCCGTGCAATAAATCGAGTTTATCGCACGCTGCGCTTCGCACAGCCTGCTCACAACTCGACTTCTGCACGACTTGACATAAAATATTATAGAGCACTCAGTAATAAATTTCATTTCAACGAATGTGTATTCGTTGAAAACGAAATTTGTGCCCTTGTACTCTAATGTACTATTATTTACGCGTGATATCAGGTAAAATAACAGTCCGATCGAAAAAAGGATCCTTACTTCTCTTCGTATTGGTGTACCAACGATTGTGTCAAAATTTGAACGAGATTCGTCTAGTGCTTGCAGCACAGGACTTTTTTGAAGTAAAAACCTGGGTTTCTCGTATTTTTACATTTTCCCGTCATCCGAGAAAGTCCTAAGGCGTGTCAATTTTCGTTTTTTCGAGCAAGTATACGGATGGAAACCTACTCATGGGCCTAATTTTCAATTGTGGGCCTTTTAAGTTTCAGTAGGGTCTCCCCTTAAATTATTTGTGCGATACAACAGATGATTCAACGATAGGAATAGTGAACTCGTCGTGGTATGTGATATAAACTATATTTTTTCATGCTGTTCATCTCATCCTCCAAAAACCAAAATTTAATTACAAAATTCCAGAAATTTTTTGAAATTCCCTGACTTATCCATGACTTTTCCAGAGCGTTCAAATTCCCTGATATTTCCAGGTTTTCCACATTTCCCTGACCACTGGACATCCTGTTTATTCACTCTAAGATGACCCGATTCTAGTTCGTTAATTATGTACTTAAGACGTGACACATGCTCGATCTACATGGATTTATGTGTTTTCTGCATTGTTAATGAGCAATCAATGCCGAGGGACAGATTCAAGCAACATTTGCCTAACAGTGAAGTTATGAATATGAAAAATTCTATCCATCTTTTATGGCTATATTCGTTGTCAGTTTGTTAGAATTTAAATTAGTTTCGCTGCGTGATCCATCTATTGACTTGAATAATTACTTTAATTTATTTATTTAATAATTTTATTTATTTATTATTGAGTTAAATATACAATTACAACTTATGGAACTTACCATACGAATCAAAATGGAAATCTAATTTTTTGTGAGGTAAGAAGAGTTTACATAAACAATCGAATTTCTATACGTTGCAAAATGTAATTATGAATACGTTGAGAATTCGATTTCTAATCAAAAATGTTTTTATTCTTACAAAAAAAAAGATTTGACTGTTATGTTACCATCATCTCTTATATGATAAAACAGTTTTCATCATTATTTTCATGTGTCGGCAAAGTAGAGCATAAGCCCATTTTTGTTTTGCTTAATTATTCATTTATTACTTCTTGAAATTGTTTAGTGATATTTTCAGTTTAAAAAAGATTAAGGCATTTAAAGAAATATAAGAATTGCCCCCATTGTTGTCCCTTGTTCTGAAGGTGTGCGTTTTTTGTATAACCTGGAAGAAAGATAAACAACAATGGAGGAAAATTAATTGCACATGGTTCATTACGGGACTCGAAGTAATCGGTCATTCATAACCCACGAGATTTTATTTACGGAATATAGAACTCAATTTGGAAAACACGAAATTTGACAGATTCATTTGGATTTCATAATCCATAGTTGTAATTTTTTAATAGTTGCACTGTCAAACGCCACATATTTTAGTGAAGTGAATTATTCATCATGAAATCACTTTTATACGTTGATATTCAAGTATAATGGTAGAATACGAGTCATGGGAATGAATTGATGTACATCTCGACAGGTGTTGTATTTTTAACTCACGTGAGTTCGTTTGTCAATACAGGTCGAAACGCAAACATCATCCAGTTGTGATTATTGACGTGATTACACGAGTATATTTCACATAAAAAAGTATAATGTATAAATTCTTGCATTTTTAATTTTCAGGTCTACATTCGTCGAAAATGGGCCGAATACCAAACGTCTCTCAGGAAGAGGTTATCGCGTTAATCGAGAAATANAGGGAACTTGGGCTTCAGTTATAACTGGCGCTTTCTACAAAAAATACGCTTTCAACTGTGCATTCCTTGCGAAATACTCTTACGTACGTTCAAATCCGAACTCACAGAAGGATAAACCGTATTTAAAATTTGAAGCCTACTGTAAAGACAAGGAGAATTGTCCAAACGTTTTGATCGGTACCTCGGATAAAGAACCTGACGAGAGAGGCTTGCAACTGACAATCAAAACCCGTGACACACGGCGAGACTACCACGTTGAAGTCACGAGACCCGTGAGGGGCCTTGAAAGAGAACAGGTTGGAAAGAGACTGGAGATACAGACTGCGAGTAATTATCGAGAAGAACTATTGAGAAATGATATGAAATGCGGGGAGGATATTCCACCTCATGTTCAAGAGAATTATATCTACAGGCAGATCAGAATGGAAGGGAAAAAAAAAGAGCTGGCTTGGCGAAAAATGAAAAAATTGATGTTATTAAATGTCTACAGAAAATGGTTACAGATCCTCGGTTTCCTAACACGATACACAATATAGGATGCTCAAAATTTTTCATCTTCTATTGGACGCCTGATCAAGTGAAAATTTTCAACAAGTATGTTCGATTATTGGGAAAATTGTCAGCCATTTCAATAGATGCCTCGGGAAAATTTATCAGAAGTTTTGAAATTTGTCCAGGGAGAATGACTGGACATGCTTATTTATATACTATTACAATCAAATTTGAGGGAAAGACCATCTGTGTTTGTCAAATGGTAACAGAAATACACACTGAAGCTTTCACAGAACTTTGGCTGAGATCATGGAGAGAGTCAGATGCCAAAGCACCCGGTGAGGTGTGGAGCGATTATCAGCGTGCCATACCTATGGCTTCGTGTGTTACGTTTAATGAGCTTACATTGAAAGACTACGTTGACGCACTTTTTACTTGGGCTTTGAATGGAAAAATACAACCTTTGGGAATCAGGACGCTTATCCGAATTGATGTAGCTCATGTAATGGGGTTCGTATCCAAATGGAAATCGCTGAAGGACAAAGATCACCCCTATATCAAACAGTTTTACCTTCATTGTGTTGCTCTGCTAGTGGACACTCGTAGCGTTGAGGAATTTCGGAGGATTTTCCTTTGGATATGCATCGTAGGGTTACAACCTTACGATGACGCAATGATTTCAACGCCAATGATTACATTGAGGGTAAAAGACGCTAGGAAAAAATTAGAAGAGCAGATCAGTGATAGAAAAAAAATTATCAAAGATTTGGAGGCTTCCATGACCACGTACCTGGAAGAAAATGAGAATGAACCCAAACCCTTTGAAGAGGGTACAAGTGAAACATCCACTCATCAATGGATTAAGAAACTTATGGATGTAGGCGGAACATCAAGTTTGTCAGGAGGGTCTGTTAATGCATTTTATTTACCAGGGTTCGTGAAGGATTTAGAACGTCTGGCCAAAGAATTTCCACTTTGGACAGCTGCAGCACTCCCGGTCTACGCAGGTGATAGGCATGCATCAACCAGCCACCAGGAAGGGTACTTTGCTTACTTGCGAAGACACGTCTTCCAACACACACGATTGCCCTGTTCTGGGAACAGATTTGTGCTGCAGCATTGCCAAAGTCTTTCTAGTGGTGCCAACTTATTATCTGCTAAATTAACACATTTTGGCCATAAATATGGACCACTTTCAGATTCTGTTGGAGGTAAAAGAGGCACCAAACGACAGAATGATTTTTCAAAACCTCCACCAAAAAAGAAACACGTTGATGATTCAGATTTCTTGCGTTATGAAAACTGGCGAGGACTTGGAAACGATCGTGATTTCGCCGCTAACAGTGATACCTCCGATCATGAGTTAACTGAGAGTGATGATAAGCCGGAAGTTTCTTGTCGTCTAGATACAGGAAATATTCTATCGGACTTTTTAGACTTCGCAGCAGAGACCGGACAGCGTGCCACGAAAGAAAAATAAATGGATACTTCCTCTCAAGACATAAGCGAAGTAGCGAACTACAAAGTGGTAGGTGAAGGCAAAGAGTATCATAAAAGCGACTACGACAAACTTTTAGAGTATCTGACTAATGAAGCAAAGAATTCAATGAAACCACCTGCCCCGTCAACACCAAAATCAGCTGATTTGCTCGATACTCAACCGATTTTTACCAGTTCACCACACTTGGACCATTCTTATGGTAGGACTCCACATTTCGGAAGTCATCACAAGCCGACATATGTTGAAAAGTCGAATGTATTTCCAAAGTTCAAATTTGAGAGGGATGATGACAGCACAACCGACGAGAGCATTGATTTATGTGGCAATTCTATTCCCCGTGATAGTAATATGCCAAGTGGTTCTCCCAAGATTGAAGAAAATGTTGAAAGTTGTAACAAATTTGATGAATCGGATCACGACGGCATCATTATATTGGATGAAGAGGGTGATACTAANAAGTTGTAACAAATTTGATGAATCGGATCACGACGGCATCATTATATTGGACGAAGAGGGTGATACTAAGCAGGAAAGTAGAGTTGCTGATAGGAAAAAGAAAGAAATGGAAATACTCAAAGTGAAGGCAAAAGGTTTTTATTTTCAGAACCATCCGGAAACGACGATATTAAATGAGAGGACAGCATCAAAAAAGAAAGGATTTTTACTGCTCAATGGTATCAAGTGCAACTGGATCCAAATAAAATATGACTACCCATGGAATTTTAAGACCGAAGAAGCTTAACCTGAAAGGAAACTGAGAACTGGGATCAAAGTTAGTGTCACCATGACCTGTGGTTTTGATGCACTTGTGCACATAATACAGTTCTCCGCTTTAGACAGTCCTTCTTATCGCGGCTTTATGGAGCAATCTGACAATCCTTTACTGCTATTTACGTCAAATTTCTGTAAAAGTGGACTCACGAAGGAAATTTTATTGGAACGTTTGAAGACTCTCAACCAATTTTATTTTATTGGAAAAGACGCGAGTAACACTTCCATACATCCATACATTCTCGATGCTGAGGATTTTATCGCAAGGGTATGGAGTAATTATTTTTCTGACGAGCCTAGTGGATTTAGAACCTATAATTGCAGTGTTTCGGACTGTTTCGGTAAAAAGATCGACAAACTACTACTCCTCGCTGTAAACGAAAAGCTGATACGACGACAGGGCTATGGATGCTTACGGAAAGCCCTACTCTATCACAGCCAAATATCCAACATTAAATGTCGAGAACCAGAATGCAATGGAACCGTGACCGAAAATACTGAATTGAATATTCATATCTGCATTGAATTAGATGTGAGAGTTGCCATTGATTCAAAGACAGCAATTAAGGGTTTTCTGAGTGATTTCCCAGTATCTCTTGAATTAGACAGAAAGTATCGGTAAGTGATTTCGGTATGAGAGTAATATACTGACTATTGAAATATTAATTTTGTCATTGTTATTTTCAGACTCGTTGGTATAGTTGATTACCAGTTAGGCCATTTTATCGCTTACTGTCTCAGATCAGGCGGGACTTGGCTACAGTGCGACGATATGCAGAAGAAAATTACATCCGTTAATAATCCTAAAGAGACCTCTGTATTCCCCCACATTGCAATTTACGTACTGGAATAATTAACTTCTCCAACTGTGAAGATTTGCATGTTTCTAGATGTAGTTAGTTCTCGAGTTATCTCATCAGCGCTCAATCAAATGATGATTGTGTTAGGCATTTTATAGTATTTAAGGGCGATGGGGAGTTGGAGAGGTGTCTGAAGACTGGTGGTGATGCTGGTGACATGCTTTGGGGGGGAGAAACCACGTGGATTTGACAGCTGTCAGAGGGATGGGACTGAAGACACTGGGGATATGGAGGATTTGGGGGTTCAGGAGGATTTTGTGGCGATATTGGAGATGTTGGAAGAGATTTTCGAGAGAATTAGGGGCAGGGAGGAGATCAGGGATAGTTTAGAGACATTTTCTACTGGGGATTTTGGGGATTCTCTGGGTTCAGGGATGGTTTTGCTGGGTCTGGAGGGAAGGAGATTGTGCTGAGGGAATCACATCCAGACCCTGGTACTGGGACTGAAAGTAGGATTCAGCGGCAGATTGTTTCTACATGTATAAAGTGATATTTGTTATTTCTATATAGATTTTATAGAGAAAAACTAATGATGTCAAGTTGAGCGCAAGATTATTGATTCATATTATTCGATTTTATTAAATGTTTAGACAAAATATTATTCTATTGTGCACATATATAGTTCTCCGTTGTATTTAAATTATATTGGTGTCCATTATGAGATGAGAGTTCGAGTCTGTTCCTCTCCTCGGTTCCAACTGTATTTTTTTATAAAATAAAAAAACAGCTTCCAATCAAAACATTTTGACGTACATAAAATCCTAATTGATTTCACATTTATTCCCTGATCCGTACTGTTTCCGCTACATATAAGCCTCATATTTGTGTTAGTTTCCATGTCAGATAACCCTGGAAAAATTATCCTACTCAAATAATTCTAATAAAATTTCCTGATAGATGTCAAAACCCCAAATATGAAAATGAGACAATTAAAAAATTTAGAATGATGTACCGCAGGATCATATTTTTATCAGGATGAAATAGTCTCGGGATTAATTTGGTCAGGATATTTTTATTCAGGATCAATTTTCCCAGGATTATCTGACGTGACACCTTTGTGATACAATTGAGATTATCTGTAGAAAATGTCATTAGACTTCAAAGTACTTCCTCAGCGTTAATAAAGAAAGATATACAGAACTGCGGTATTCGCTTAAAGCATGAAATTTGATTTACATGTTGTTGAGAATATTTAAAAACTATTCTCAAAATTTGAAGTACTGTCAACCACGTGATTTTTTTTTTTGAGAAACAATCTCAAATATTCAAATTATCGTGTCTTTTCGATTTTTGATGATGCACATTNCTATTCTCAAAATTTGAAGTACTGTCAACCACGTGATTTTTTTTTCGAGAAACAATCTCAAACATTCAAATTATCATGTCTTTTCGATTTTTGATGATGCACATCTCAAAAGTATGCGCGGTAATTGACTTTGAAACTTTGAGCATAGTTTTTGAACGTTCTCAACCATATATATACCGATTTTCATGTCATTAGACTTAGACTAGTCAGGCTGCACCATAAAAACAAGTGTCTCATTTTGAAACCATTTCTCTCAAAGAGTGACAAGGAGATGAGGTAATAAGTAGATATCAGAATCTAAAATTTTTTCAAAAATTAACATCTTTCTTTTTACAACGCGTGCGCCCTGCTGCCTGTAGAGTAGGGATACGAAATCCACCTGAAAAAAATTAAAAAATAAAAACAAAAACCCGATAAACACGGCTTATTGCACAGAGTGACATAAACATTTTTATGTAGTTAGGGTAAAAAAAACAATCCTAACCTTCGCACTCGATCTAACTTCTCGTACCACTTTAGCTTTGGAATTATAAAGACCCAAGATGGTTGAACAACATTTATTATAACTCATTACACTAATTATAACGAAATTATATAAACTGACAGAGAATGTGCAATTGTTTTCGGTTTTGGAATATTGGAGCACCTTGCCCCCCTCCGGCGACGTCTCTATGTAGCGGCACACGTTCATGCGATCATACCCTATAAACTTGAAAAAAAAATTATGTCTAATTTATAAAAAAACGTTCCAAAACATGTTTCTAAATTCCAAAAAGTAGAAAAACCCGTTCTCCAAACGATACTGCACCAATGGAGAGGGTTGGGGAGGAGAAATCCAAATTTTCTGCTGATTATATGCCTAATTAATTTTAATTAATATTAATTAGAGGACATGTTTCCAAATTCGGAAAATGTTTTTCCAAATTTATCTAATCAATTTCCTAGCTACTAGAATTATTCAAAATACATTTCCATAATTTTTTTTGCTAACTATATGGCGCTCATTATATACTAGCGCCGCCGCGGCCGCAAGCGGCTGCGACGTTGATGCCCATTTATTATGCCTTTGCTTTTTTTGTTTCTTTCGAAAATTAATGATTTATCGTTGTTTTAGTCTATTGAGTGTTAAAGTTAATGAAAACAATGCGTCTCGGTTCATTGCTTGTTCAATTTAAATATTATAATAAGTGATCCACTAATTCTGAGTTTCCGTCCTCAGTGAATGAAATTTTAATTACTATTGTAATCAAAATTATATTCAGAGTGCAAAACAACAACTATGAAATTTCTCACAGGCCATAATTTTTTTGTCTTCGCCTCCCTCTTCATTTCCGTTTGCAACTTGACAAAAGTATTCAATTATTTTTCTAGAAAAATTATGGGGTCAATTCTGATCTTCTTTCGCTAATTCGAAGTGTTTTCGCTTCATTCATGATTTTTTCACAATTTTATTCGACGATGTCATAAACTTCAAACTTTCATCATCTAATCATCTAAAAA